GAAGACGTCGCTTTCACTCCCACTTAAAAGGGACAAACTCAATTATAGAGCTTATGTTATGCAATGCAAGTATTGTGTGTGAGGAGAAATGTTCAAACCTTTGACAGAAAAATAAATAATGAAATAAAATACTTGTAAATAAAATGAAATATTAATAATATATATAAATACTATAAAAATAATATGTATATAAAAAAAGAATTATAAATTAAATATATGAAATTTTAATTTATAATTAATAGAGACAATTTATAATTGATTTTTAAAAGTTTGACCAGATCCCCAGCAGAGTCGCCAAGCTGTCGTAACCGGTTTTCGTCCGGGTACGAAATATTTATTTGGCGGGAAAATTGATGTGAATAAATGGTTTTTGAAAATAATTTGAGAGTCGCCATCGGCCTTTAGGGTCAGGTAGGTCGAATACCTAAAAATTATTTTTTTAAAAGAGTTTTAAGAAAACATCAATTAAAAAATGAACTGATCTACGTTTATAACCAAAAATTCATTCTTTTTAATAATAAAAAGGGATTCGTGGTCGGTTACGTTTAGGGAAGGATTAGCACCCCTACAACGCCCAAAATTGGTACTTTTTAATTATAAATTGTCTCTATTATTAAAAATTTAAAAATTCAAAATATATTTAATTTATAATCCTATTATTTCAAAATTATATAAAAAATATTTAAAAATATCGGAAAAGGACTTCTAGGTGCCTTAAGACATCTCTTTTCTTTGATATTAATAAATATTAATTTGAATAAAATTAAATAATAATTTTTTATAATATTTAATTTTAAAATACCAGAATAGAACATCCAGTTGTATTAAGACTGCCCTTTTCTTCGATATTGAAAAATAAATGTTAAAAATAATTTATTAAAAAAATATATATTTATTTATTATATATATATTTATGACTACATAATAATAATAAAAATATTTAAATATATAAACAAGTAAAATTAAAATAATAAAAATACAATTAGAACTATATATTTAAAATCAATAAAATAAATAAAAATATTTAAAATTATTGACTAAATTATAGTAAATTAAAATTAAAAACCTAATTCAATATTAATCAAAATTATAGGGATTAAACATGCTATTTTCTTATTTATTAATTTAGTGACTAAAATAAAACTATATAAAATTCGGATATTAGAATAAAATAAATTAAAACATACTATTCAGATTAAAATATTAATTATTAAAATTATAGGACTAAATCTGTTATTTACCCTATATATATTTTAATATAAAGGACTAAAATAAATAAAATTGAAATTAAAGAACCGAATTAAAAGGATTATAAACTCGATTTAGTGACGAAAATGGAAAGTTTATAAACTAGGATGACTGCGGAAAGGATTTAACTATTAATAATTACACAAATAGCCCTCCCCGAAACGACATTGTTCGGGAAGGGCTATTTAAAGCCAGAAACGGCTGGCCCTTCGGGCCAGCTCTCTCATTCTCCATTTTTCATTCTCTCTCTAACTGAGAGAGAATGAAAAAGCTCTCCCTTCTCTCTAGCTTCCCTCATCGGAGGGAAGCCGGTCACCGGACGGCAACCGTCTGCCGCCGTGACCCTCACCGCCTGCCACCGCATCCGGTGGCCGGAAAATTTTATTTTTACATCATTAGGTAGATCGGACCGTCCTAAAGACGGTTCCGGTGCTCTTTTCTCCTAAATAGCTCCCGATCGGAGCAAATCTAAAGAAATACCTTCGGTTTTTGAAGGTTTTGGTGAAGTTTGAAGAGGTCCGGTGGCTTCCTCGGTAAGCTTCTTTCCTTTCTTTTTGTTTCTGTTTTGGTTTACTGCGAATTGTGGGTTATTGTTCTTTGTTTTTGTTCTCTGTTTTTGCTGGTCTCTCTTTGTTCCTCCCTCCTTTTTTTTCGTAGATGGGGTGATGGCTTTATAGCCATCACTGGTGTGGCCATCGGACCGGGTAAAAGAATACCCTTCGGTGAGTCACCGGACTCCCAGTGGTGACTCACCCCATAGCCATAACGTGGACGGCTGGCGTTGGAGCTTCTGGAGCCTTCGGTTGGGGCGTGGCAGCGGCTGGAGCGAAGTGGAGCGGCGGCAGCTGGTGTAGTCCCTAGGGTATCATAACCCTAGGGTTTCGTCTGGCGCCATCTGGACCGTTGGATCAATGCTAGATCCAACGGTGGAGAAGCAAAGCGGCGGCAGCTGGATAGAAAACCCTAATTGGGTTTTAGAGTTTCTGATTTAGGCCAGTTGGGTCCTTTGTAATTGGGCCGGTCCAATCTGGGCCTGTTTGTAATTATTTTTTAATAATAATAATAATAATAATTATAATAATAATAATAATAATAATAAAATGAGTAAAAAAAAATTTAGTATCTTCAACTGCTGCTTTGAACTTCTTGAAGACTTCAAAAACTTCTGACTTCTGTTTCAAGAAATATACCCAGGTTTTTCTTGAAAAATCATCAATGAAGAGAAGAAAATAGTTACTGTTACCGAGAGAGCTTGGCTTGATCGGTCCACACACATCGGTATGGATGAGCTCAAGTGGCTTCTTGGCTCTTGTCTCTGACTCCTTTGGAAAGCTTTTCCTGAATTATTTCTCGACTAGACACCCTTCACAGAGCTGGTCAGGATGGTTGATGCGAGGTAGTCCTTTCACCATCTCCTTCTTAGATAACAGCTCTAGACCTCCAAAATTGAGATGCCCAAATCAAAGATGCCAAAGCCATAATGCATCTTTGTAGCAAGATTTCAGGCATTTTGCAACATCATTTTGTATGTTGATCAAGAACATTCTATTCTTTGACATCGACACTTTAGCAATGAAGTTATTCTTATCATCTTTTATAGAAAGATTATAATTATTCATATGAATATCATAACCTTTCTCTGCCAGTTGCCCTAAACTTAAGATGTTACTTTTCATATTGGGCACATAGTAGACATTTGAAATAAATTGACGTCTCCCATCTTTCAAACGGATAAGAATGTTACCTCTCCCTTTCACTGCTATTGTGGAATCATCTCCAAACGAAACATTTCCGCTTACTGACTCGTCTAGCTCCACGAGCATGTCTTTCCTTCCACACATGTGATTACTTGCACCACTGTCAAGATACCAGGAATTTGCTTGGCCACCATCAGTTTCCTTTCGTGCTGGAAGAAGAGTTTCTTTGCCATCTTCCTTTTCCTCCACGTAATTGGCCTTGTCCTCAATTTTGTTATTGGGAGCTCTACATTCTGAAGCATAATGCCCAAACTTCTGACAATTATAACATCGAACTTGAGATTTGTCATGCCTTGAGTTTGGATTGATTCTTCCACGGCCTCGTGTTGAGCTTTCTCCTTTCTCATAGTTGTTGTTGGAATTGTTGTTATTGTAATTCCAGCCTCATCCATGACCTCGACTTCCACCTCGTCCATGACCTCTACCTCTTCCTTGGCCACGTTGGTTTCTATCATTGCGTTGACTCTCATGCATATCATTGAGTTGTAGCTTGAGGAGTTGCTCAGTAAACTCATGCTTCTTCTTATGCTTCTCTTCGTATGCTTGCAATGATCCTTGGAGCTGCTCGATCCTCATTTCTTCAAAGTCTTTAGTTTCTTCAATCGTCACGACGATGTGCTCAAATTTGGGATCCAACGAACGGAGTATCTTCTCTATTATCCTCACATCTTCTAATTTTTCACCATTTCTTTTTAATTGATTAGAAACTACTACTACTCTTGAGAAATAATCTGAAATAGACTCAGATGCTTTCATGTGTAAGGATTCGAATTCACCTCTTAATGTTTAGAAACGAACCTTCTTCACTTGCTCGAATCCTTTGTAAGAGGTTTGTAGCTTCTCCCATGCTTCCTTGCTAGAGCTTGCACTTGAAATCTTTTCAAAACCATCATCATCTAATGCTTGGTAGATGAGGTAGAGAGCCTTCTTGTCTCTCTTTCTTGAATCCTTCAAAGTTGTCTTTTGATCTGGTGTAAGACTAGCAAAAACAACATCATCCACAATCTCGTTATAGCCTTTCTCTATGATATCCCACACATCTTGTGATCCAAGAAGTGCCTTCATTTTGATACTTCAATTGTCATAGTTGTTGTTGTTGAGTGTTGAAACTTGGAATAGTGCCATACCATTTTCCATATCTCTCAATATAATGAGATTTTGTAAAATTCGATTGCACGGATGAATCAAAAACGCCGAAAAAACCTTGGGAGGGACTTGGACAACTCGGTCAAGGGCTCCAACTTGGCTGACTCGGCTCAACTCGGTGAGTCAACTCGATTTTCTGGCAGCAGTCTTCCGACGGTGTGTGGCAGTGCGTCAGAACTCAGATTTAGAAAATTCTGGCGGCGTCGGATTCCTCTCGTCGAGACCTTCGATCTTTCTAACTCGCTATGATGCCACTTTGTTGGAAATAAAACACTCACACAAAAAACTTTTATTGAAACTCAAACAAATATTACAAGAGCACTCTCTCTCAAAAACAAGAACTACAACTCACTTTTATAAGACTTTGCTTCTTCACTCACTTAGAAGCTCTTAATTTTTCTTGATACTTAAAACTAAAATGGGGAGGGGTATTTATACTACTCAAGAATAATCCTATACCACACAAATAAACTAATTTAAACCATTACAAATTCAACAAATACCTAACTCTTACCTAACTAAATTGATGTAAGCAATGACATCATTACTTAAATGATGTAAGCAATGACATCTTTACTTAAATGATGTAAGCAGTGACATCAATTTAGTTTGGGTTTGGGTTTAGGCTCCCATAATGGATCAAGTTTATGATCCAACAAACCTATGATCGAGAAAGCTTCGAGAAGTGGATTGAATCTGGGAATTTCACTTGCCCTCTCACCAACCAAGTCTTGAGGAGTCTCGAACCGATTCAGAATCACATCATAAGGAAACAATCAAGATTGGTGCGTTGAGAATCGATCGTACGTGGTAGAAAGAATCCCGACGCCTCGAGTTCCCGTTACTTCCATGGAGGTCTCGAACGTTCTTTCCGAAATCGATGTTGCTTGTAAGAAACAAGACGGAAAAGGGTGTCGAGATTTGGTCGTAAAGATCAAGTCGTTGGCGAAAGAGAGTGAACGTAACAAGCGTGGCATTGTTTCCAATGGGGCATGCGGTGTTTTATCAGAAGCTTTCCAGGCGTTTTCCATGGCGTCTTCTTTTGATGAAAACGATGATATTTTGGAAGAGATATTGTCGGCTTTAACCATAATGTTCCCTCTCGACGCACAGGCCAAGGGTTTCTCCGGATCAGTCTCGGCCATGCAGTGTTTAATATGGTTTTTAAGCAGCAGAGACTTGTCCAGAAGAAGAAACACAGTTCTGGTACTAAAGGAGATTGTTTCTTCATCTTCATCAGACAATCGAAGAAAAGTGAACGAATTATCACAGACAGAAGGCGCCATTGAAGCATTTTTCAAGCTGATTAAAGACCCAAATTGTCCATCATCTACAAAAGCTGCTTTACTCATCATTTACCATATCATCACATCATCTTCAACAAAGGAGAAACAAGTGAGGAAGCTAGTAAATTTAGGCACGATATCATTGCTACTTGAGACATCGTTAGACGCCGAACGGAGCACATGCGAGAAGGCGTTGGGCGTTCTCGACGGAATATGCGACACCGAGGAAGGGAGACGAATGGTCTGCGACAATGCCTTGAGTATGCCGGTTTTGGTTAAGAAAATCCTTAGAGTTTCCGATTTGACAACCGAGTTTTCTGTGTCTGTGTTGTGGAAACTCTGCAAGAAGGGAGAAATGGAAGATGATAGAAGTGTCGTATTTGAAGCTCTTCAAGTGGGCGCTTTTCAAAAGCTGTTGCTGCTTTTGCAGGTCGGGTGTGGTGAGAAAACTAAGGAGAAAGCTTCGGAGGTGTTGAAGACGTTGAATCTTCATAGAAACAAAATGGAATGTGTTGATCCCATGGATAATTTTAAGAATCTCAAAAGGTCATTTTAATTGTAAATGATAGATCATTATGTGCCAATTTTGGTTATGATTTAAAGATTACAGTGCCATTTTAATCTACCTTTTTTTTTTTTCACTCGATCGTCTGTGAATTATTATAGATTTTATATGAGACCGAGTTTTTACTATCATCTCTATACTATTAGTTATTGAGATTTCCTATTTAGGCCACCAATGCTATGTGATACTAGATGTTATTGTGATAAAATACGTGTTGTTGTGTGATAATATGCTCATTTGTGTACATGGATTGAAAACTGAAACTAGGTGAAACTAAGATATGTGAATAAGAACCCTAGTATGTGAATACTAGTTGATAATGAATTCATGAGTGACAGTCGGAAAAATGTAATATCAAAAATGAATTTATTTAAAAGTTTAGTGTCAAAATTATTACACTTTAAAGTTTTTTATACGTCTGGGATAAATACAAGGGAGTATATGTTCAAAGACTCTCAACCAATTAACTATGAACGTTCATACCCTTGTCGGTGCTCAAACCCATGACCTCTAAGGAGAATAACGAGTCCTTTAACCATTGAAGTCAATTGGTTCGTGCTACTCTTAAAGTTTAATGTCTAAAATGACATTTTTTTAGACATCAATAGTTGTCACCAAAATGTTATCGCTTTGTCCACATTATCATATTGACATAAAATTATGCCTTGGTCATCGTGTTGTTAAAATGTAACAATATAATGACATAAATGAGTTAAAATCAAAGAATAATGCTATAATTGATGAAATTGAAAGTTTAGTGTTATAAATAAAATTAAAAGTTTAACGATAAATACCAATGTTATTAAAATCGGACCGGACCGGTCGGGTCGATCGGTTGAACCGTGAACCGGTGGCCTGTCCGGTCCGGTTAACTCCCAAAACCGGATTAGCACAGAACCGGAGTGAACCGGCTGAAAACCGAAAAAACCGGTTTGAACCGCCGGTTCACTTTATTTCTTTTAAAAAAAAATTAAACCAAACGACGTCGTTTGTTCAACGAGCCGAGTCAAATTCGAGTATTGCTGAGCTCGACTCGAACTCGAAAACTTTAAAAGTAAGCTCAACTCGACTCAAAAACTCACGAGCTAAAAATTATCAACTCGAAATATAATATTAAAACTTGAAATCGAAAAGGCTCAAACTCAAAAAAAAAAAAAAATTAGAAGTTCGATTGAAGCCTAAAATTTGAGCTCAATTGAAGCGAAAGAATAGTTCGCTTTGTGCTCACAAAAAGGCTCAATGATTTTGAATGTCAAATTACCTCTATTATTTATAGAAGTAAGTTGGGATGCTCTTCTATGTTTCTTAGCCATGTGAGATTGTTTTGTTCTCATATTTTTACTCTTTAAACTTTTGGGATACTCTTTTCTTAGCCATGTGGGATTGTTTTTTTTAAACAATTAAACCAAATGACATCATTTGTTATAATTTTTTAAGACCCAATTTTATTTTTTGATTATAGTTATATAATTATATTTATTATTTAATATGTTTTACCTTAAATATTATGTTGTAGTTGATTTGAATCATTTTGTTTCACTTGATTTTATGGTTTTTCATTTATACATGTTATGACTTGTGATATTTTTATACCTTTTAATATTGTAAACTTAAAAAAAAATGTTACATATATATTAATATTGTTTTGAATATTATGTAAAATTTAAAAAATATATTATTTTATATAAAATCCGGTTCAATCGCGGTTGAACCTGATTGAACCAGTGAACCAGTACCTTCACCGGTTCAATGTCCGGTCCGATTTTGAAAACATTGATAAATACAACACACAACTTAAAGTGGTTAAGTGACACACGATATAATTTATCAAATTAAACGAAAAGTTTTCACAAGCAATATTGCTTCAAACCAATACTGCTTATAAGTTTGGTGTCAAGCTAAAATATTTTCTAAGTTTCAAAAATAATTTTTGATAATTTTCTTGTCAATCTTAATGATAGAGAGCAAATTTCACCAGAAAAGTAAATAATGTTAGATTTTTAATAGATTTTAATGGTTAAAAAATCCATTAAAATTTAAAAAAAATTAAAATATTTTTTAGAATCAAACGAACTTCTAATTATTATAATAGAAGGTGGTTGTTAAGATTTTGTAGGAAAAAAAAGCGATATCAATAGAAAAAGAAAAAAAAATATCTCATCTAAAATTAAGAAAAATAAAAATAAAATCGATTTTTTTTTTAAAATAATACAAGTAAAGAATGAAAAGAATAGTGAACTTGAATATTTTTTTATAAAATTTTAAATACATTTTTAAATTTTAATCTTTAACGATAATATTAATAAAAAATAATGAGGATCAATCTTACTATTATGTCTTAAGTAAATAAAGATTTTTTTAAAAAATGTATCACGCATCTATTATGGTTATTATTTTCATATCATATTTTATTTTAAAAATGTTTATATCCGTTAACAACATAAAATTTTATATACAAAACCGAGACAAAAATATATTATTATGATTTATTTATTTATTTTAAATATAAAATTAATACTCCATATATTATATACGTAACATATAATTATTTAATTTATTAATAATGTATATAATTATTATCGGAGGATGAGTTGGCCTCCTGTTTTGCTGATATCGTCACGCAAATGGCTCAAGACGTGAGTCGTCTTTTTCCTCTTTAGCTGGGGATATATTGAAGCATATTTAGTAAGCAGGTAGAAATGGGAAAGAATAATGAAGTTGGGCGCTTGTTTTTGTTCTAGTTAGCAAACGGAACCAAAGGGTTTTTCTATCCAGTTTGATACATTGTTGAAATCCTTTTGATACTGATTAGAATGATGGGTCGGTTATACTGTAATTCATACTAACCCACTCCAAATTCATGTTGTTGGTTTTTTTTTTCAGTCAACCCGAAGTAGCTTGCAAGTATAAATGTCTTGTTTACACCCCTAGGGTGTGAGGCTGGGGCATAGAGAGACTGAGATTGAGTTCTTGGTTGTTCCAATGCAGTTGTTATTATTAGGTGTTGAGGGAAACTAGGAGATAGAGGGAGGGATAAAGAATGGGGGAGACAGGCAGAGTTCTGGGTTTTGTTAATCCTTCTAGTGTGGTTTATTCTTATCTAGACTTCTGTTTTTATAAGTTGGGCCTGTCAGGGTTTTATTTTTTACTGTTATATGTCTCACTTCATCTTTATGAGCTGCAATGGTGTTTTTGTTGATTCACTTATCCATCATTTTATTGGATTTATTATAAACGGACAGTTTCTTTATATCAAATATATTGCTTGACATGATTGATTGTAGCTTATGAGTTTTTCCTATTTGCAGTTTACAATGGCCGGCGAACACCGCATTCATTTGATAAAATTGGTCAGTTTATAATCTGAAACGCATATATGTATTTGTATGCAATTTGCTTGTGTTTCTTAATCCTAATTTTTTCTGTTTCTCATTTACATTTTAATGTCATTAATGTCATACTTCTTGATTTCATTGAAAAATATGTTTCTTGAATATAGTCATAAAGGAGCTCTAACTGGAACTCTTTATAGTAAAAACCTTTTTGATATATTGAAAATTTAGGGCTAAGAATTTAATCTTAAATGAATGCTTAATGCTGTAAGCCCCTCAGTTCGTTAGTTTTATATAACTAAGCAATAAATAGGTTCTTCCACAACTACGGTAGTGATTGATGTAACTTATTAAGGTTCTGATTTGATCCATATGCTATAAAAAGCATACACCTAAAAGATTAAATTTACCTGCATTGTAGAAAGGGTCATAACATGTTTTGCATGATTTTCCTATTCCCAAAATCCTTAGTTCTTATTAGTTATTATGAATTCCGTCTGATGAGGATCAGAGGATCTGTGAAGCATGAAACTTCTGATGGCAATGATTTTGTTTTTCATATGGGCTTCTTTAATCTCTTGCTTAATTAAGTGAAGAATTTGTTGTTAGGGATTTAAATACCTGTGAAATTTGACTTTGATGATATATCCACTGAATAAAGAGAAATTTCGAAACTTAAGTGAACCAAAGATTAGGATATTGTAGAGTGGATTTTGACGTTGAACATTAACTGGTAACCTTTATAGAATTGACTGAGAAAATAATTACTCTAATAGTTGAATGATCGATATGACAGGAAACAAAGTAGGTGAGTTGCCTATTTTTGTGCAAGAATTACTTCTTTAAATATTTAGATTAAAATTATGAAATTTCAAATAACTTGGGACTTGTAAGGTTAAAATTTAAGGCAGTCAATACAATTTATTTTGAATTTATTATTAGGAGCTTTGTGAACTGCATGAATCTCAGAGTGGAGCAAATGATTTTTCTTTAATTTTTATCACATCTTATTCTTATTGAATTCTAATAGTGTGTTATTGTTTCACATTTATATATCTGTTCCATTTATGATCAGCAACCGGACATGTTTTCCATTTCATATGATCTTTGTGGTTGTTCATGAAGAGAAATTTCCTATTGCTTATTTGTTGGGTTTATGGTCTTTGTTGTAGGCAAAGCTGTCGATGGACTCTTCGTTGGTTCTGAACAGATTTGAGAAAATAATGATTCTGATATTTCTCTAACAATACATTACAACTTTAAAGGAAGGATCAACACAAAAATTAGGAAAGTATCCCTAAAAATTAGGAACTACAATTAGAGACATATTTACACTAGGTTAACTCCTAAAAATAAGGAAGTAGATTTTGTTCCTTAATTCTAGGATTTCCAACACTCCCCCTCAAACTGGTGTGTAGATATTTATCAATCCCAGCTTGCCAATAAAATCTTCAAGCACGTTCTTACTCAGACTTTTAGTTAGCAAGTTTGCAACTTGTTGCTTAGTAGGAAGATATATGATACAAACTTCTCTTGAATTTACCTTCTCTTTGATGAAATGACGATCTATCTCCACGTGTTTAGTCCGATCGTGATGAACTGGGTTATGTGCTATACTGACAACAGCTTGATTATCACAATATACCTTCATAGGTTTAA